GGGCCGTGAGCCCCGTCAAGGTGCGAGGCGGCGCGGGGCTCCTTCTCACGGCCCCGTCAAGGGGCGGGGCGGCGCGGGGCTCCTTCTCACGGCCCCGTCAAGGGGCGGGGCGGCACGGCTCCTGGGTGAGGTGGGCAGTGGTGCAGGTCAGCGGGACATGGGCCTGAACCCTGTCCCCCGCCCTGACCATGCGTTCTGTTCCCACCGGGCGCTCGGCACAGCGGAGGGAGTGGGCAGGGGTGGCGGCTGAGAGCCTGGGACGTGGGTGGGAGGAGCCCGCACCCCTGGCCCAGCCTGCGCCCCGCCCCCCAGGAAGGAGAATGTGCACCGACACGTGCTGCGGCTCCTGATCCACCTGCACCACCGGGTGAGCCCGGCCAGGCTGCAGGCGCTGCAGCGCGCCCTGGAGCCCACAGGCCAGGTGGGTGCCCCGGCGCTGCCTGCGTGCTGACCCCAGGTGACCGGCGTGTGTGGGCGCAGCACCTCGTGACCCTGTGTGTTTACCTACAGAGCGGGGAGGCTGTAAAGGAGCTGTACACGCAACTCGGCCAGAAGCTGGAACAGCTGGACCACCGGAAGCCCAGCCCAGCCCCGGCGGCCGACACGCCCGCCCTGGAGCTGCCCCTGCCCCCTGTGCCCGCCCCGGCTGTGCAGTGAGGCCCACCAGACACGCCCTTCAGCCCTTGAAGGCACCGTTGCTGCACCCAGCACTGGGGTGGACGTGGCCTCCGCGGGACAAGAAGCTCAGCTGGCGGCTGAGGGTCTCCTGTCCACCATCCACACAAGGCTCACCCCTCCGTGCCGGGCTGCTGGGTTCTGGGGGTTTGGGCTGCGTCCGCGGGACACTCCTGCCCTTGCAGCTGTGAGCAGCTCCGTGTCGGCTTCCCAGCCGCCCTGGGGCTTCTTACAGCCGTGAAAAGTGTGCTGTTGGCCTGCCTTGTGGGTTTTTATTGCCGCAGCAAAGACAGACCTCGGGTTAGACACCTGTTTTCCATATGGGGGGGACATTAGGGACCTGCTGACCCATCTCAGTGTTTGTGGAACCCCCTGGGTGGGTAAGGGGAGGGGGTGGGGCCTGGTTACGTTTTGGTATCTGCGGAGTTGGTCTTGGGGCTGCTCTGTGCCACTTGTCACCACCTGGAATCTCTGGAAATAGGGCTGACCCCGCCACGATGCCGTGGCAGAGGCTGCGTCAGGCCCTGAGACCCAGTCCGTGTGCTCAGGGTCCCTCACCAGCAGCCCCAGGAGAGCCAGGTCCCCACACCTGGCCCCCAGTTTGTGGGGTGGGGTCATGGTCCTGCTGTGCATCCGGCCACACCATGTACTGTACGGGTGAGAAGAGACTCACTGTCAATAAACAGCGTTTTGGTGAGATGACTTTGTGCCTTACTGGCCCGCTGTGGGGCTGGAGGTGGCGCACAGAGCCCAGTTCAGCCTTGACGGCCCCATGCCCTTTGGTTTTGACGCGGGCAGCTAGAGTCTGGCGACGGCACCGAGCTCCCGTGCTACAGCTGGCAGGACCCCCCCAGGCTGCACAGCAAGCAGCCCAGGGGCTCCGGTGCCCACTGAGGCCATGTGGGTGGGGTGCAGCCACCTGCGGGCCGTGCACAAATGTGGAGACCAAGGCTCTGGAGGGCAAAGGTTGAGCCCTGGTTGACGAGCACATCTGGAGCTGAGTTGGCCTGGTCATACCCCAGCCCGGCTCCCCCAACCCCTTCCCAGGGGTGGGGGAGGGGCACGTCCTGCTGCCAGGTCCCACCTGGTGCCCTGCCGGCAGTGCCTGGTTTCCGGGGGCGAGGGGGGCAGTGTCACCCCCCGGGGGTACAGGGTGAGGCATCACCGGTGTAGTTTGTCCCCATGACTGAGTGGTGACTAGCCCATCAGGATGGAGAAGCAGCCAGAGGAGCGGAGAAAGGTTGGGGGTAGGAGAGGTGGGCTTCTGGGCCCCCTTCACCTCTGGAGATGGAAGGTGCTGGAGGGAGGTGGCAGAAGGGGTCAGGTGGTCCTGCTGGAGGGGACTGGACAGACAGGTGGACAGACAGGACTTCCCAGGGGCCTTATCCAGGGACAGTCATCTCAGGGAGGCCTGGATCCACAATCTGTAGAGAATGGACCCTCCTGACCCCCGCTTTCCTGACCCCTCCAAGTACATAACTGACCTCTACCTGTCGGGGCAGGAGGTGGAAGAACAGCCTGAAGAGCAGAGCGAACAATGGCCGCCAGCTGGGGCGCGCAGGGTTCCGGGCAGGACACGTCTGTGGTGGTGTTCCCGGAGCCCACAGATACAGATGGAGTTGGTGGACAACCAGGTCAGCCAGGTCACCTGTGAACAAGCCCTGGGCCTCCGCTGAGACTTGGCCAAGGAGAGCGTCCCCGTGGGCCCGGGGCTGGGGAGACCAGGTCCCTTGGCTCCAGGGGAAGGAGAGGGAGCTGGGAACTGTCACTCCAGCGGTGGGGGGGTGGGGGTGCCAGAGCCCGAGGTTCCCAACTCTGGGCCCCAAGTTCTTCCTAAATTTCCTCCCCAACCCCAACGGGGGGCGTGAGCCACTTGTGGCCTTTTCAAGGTCTAGGACTGTCTGAGGGGATCCTAGGCTAGCGGAAGGTAGGGAAGGGGGGAGGAGAGGTGATAGGGAGGGTGTGCGCCCACCTGGGCAGAGGCCTTCCCCTCCTCCCCTCTTGGTTACAGGCCTCTGGGCAGCTCTGGGGAGGGGATGTCAAGTGGAGGTGTTCTGGGGGAGGAGGAGTGGGTGGAAGGACAGATTGAAGGGCTGGGGGCCTGGGTGTGGACATAGAGGGGTGCTCATCCCTTGGAGGGGGTCAAGGCAGTTATCGCCTGGCTTGGATCTGCCAAGGGGCTGGGCTTCCAGAGTCAAGGGTGGAGGAGGTGAGCCGACCCCGGACACAGCCCGCCAGGGGACCTCAGGAGCCAGCCAGACCTCCCCCTCCACGCCTCATCCAGCCTAAGTCCCGCCCGCCGCACCCCTGACTCACTTCCTTTTCATAGAAGCGGAAACCTCCCAAAGCTTTCTCTGTGGCTCCGAAGCTCCCCAGGGACCCGCAGGTGTCCGCGGCACTCCAGGCCCCCGCCCCGCCGGCCTTTCGCCCCAGGGAGGTCAGCATTTCCGCTTGCTAAGTGTGGAGCCGCAGCAGGCGGGGCCGGGGGCCAGGAGCCCGAAGCAGCTGCAGGTATGGGGGTGTTGGGAGCTCCGTGCTCAGGCCTGTCCCGCCCACTGCCTCCGTGGGGCCTCTGCGCCAGCCTCCGGCGGCATCCCGCCGGGGCCTCCCCGAGCCGTCTGCCCAGGCGGCTCTCCGTGGGTCAACGGCTCTACCCCTCCTCCCCCCGCCCCACCCCGTCCTTTCGTCTGTCGGTCATCTTTGCACCCCACCCCCACCCGCCTCTCGGGGTCTCCCCGCCGCAGCCCCGCCTGGGTGTCCACTGAAGGGATGGTGAGAGGGCTCCAGTCTGGGTAAGGAGGCCTGGGAGAAGGGGCAGGGCTGGGGCCCACTCTCAGAAGTAGAAGCTCCAGCCAGACCCCCACCCCTAGTGTTCTCGAATAGGGGGTGCTCGGGCCTCTGCTCCCCGTTGCCCCTTTTTGAGACGCAGAGGGCCCGTGGCGCCTAGCAGTCAGAGCTGCGGGTGGGGGCGGGTCCAGGCGTGACCCTTCATCACCCCGAATCGGCGCCAGGTCGGACGCCGACTCCTCCTCCAGGAAGCCGGGGAGGCGGCCGATAAGCTGCGGCCGCCTCCCACCCCCTCCAGCCACTTCCTCCAGGCGGCCGCTGTTTATCGGAGGGCCAAGGGATTTGCATGGGGCCCCGCGAGGGAGCCGCTTCCTGGTCATCGGGCGAGCCTCCGGCGCAGCGGGGCCGGGACCAGCCCCTGACTGCGTGCCTGCCCGGGCCGCTCCCCGCGACCTCCTCAGGGTGGAAGACCACTCGGGGGAAGGGTCCCAGTGGGCTCTGGGCGCCGCGGCGGGAGGCCGGAAGTCTTTCTCATATACCCGTTGCAGGGACGCGACCTGCATGCAGAGCGCCGCCCCCGAGCCATGGACAGCCGCCCGATCAGCCCGGAGCCCGCGGTCCCCCGCGCGCCTGGCCCGTGCGTGATCGCGCCGGTGCGCGCCGTGCTCCGCCTGCGCCGCCGCGTGTGCCTCCTGCGCAAGCGGCGCCTGCTGCTGCCCAGCGCGGGGCTGGCTGGAGCTGGGCCTGATGAAGGGCCCGCGGCGCCGCGTGCAGGAACCGACCAGCCACGCTTCTTCACCTTCGACGACGCCGCGGAGCTGACCTCCCGGGCACCGCGCAAGAGGCGCAGGCGTAGCCGCGTGGTGCTGTACCCCGAGAGCTCGCGCAAGTACTTGCCGCGCGCCGAGCGCCGGAGCCGCGCGCAGCGCTGCCTGCTGCTGCTCGTGGCCATTGTGGGCTTCCAGGTGCTCAACGCCATCGAGAACCTGGACGACAATGCGCAGCGCTACGACCTCGACGGGCTGGAGAAGGCTCTGCAGCGCGCCGTGTTTGGGCAGCCGGCCGCCGTGGGGCGCATTGTGGCGCTGCTGCGGGACTACCTGGCCACGCACGTGCACAGCCGCCCACTGCTCCTGGCGCTACACGGGCCCAGTGGGGTGGGCAAGAGCCACGTGGGCCGCCTGCTAGCGCGTCACTTCCGCGCCGTGCTCGACGATGGCGCGCTCGTGCTGCAGTACCATGCGCGCCACCACTGTCCTGAGCCGCGCGCCGCGCAGGCCTGCCGCGAGGAGCTGGCGAGGCTCGTAGCCGACGTGGTAGCGCGGGCCGAGGCCGAGGAGAAGACACCGCTCCTCGTCCTGGACGAGGTGGAGGCCATGCCGACGGCTCTGCTGGACGAGGTGCACGGCTTCCTACAGCCGCAGCGCTCACACCAGTTCCACAGCGCCATCTACGTGCTCCTCAGCAGCACAGGCGGCGGCGAGATCACGCGCTTTGTGCTACAGAACGCCACCCGCGCGCTGCCCCGGCGCCCCGACGGTGGTCCCGACAGCGTCCGGGGAGCCCGGGCGGAAGAGGAGCTGCACGCCAGCATGCGGGTGCTTTTGGCCCGCGAGCACCCTCTGTGGAAGGCTGCGGCCATCGTGCCCTTCCTGCTGCTGGACAAGTCGGACGTGGTCAACTGCTTCCGGGACGAGATGGCCGGGGAGGGCTTTTTTCCTGAGCAGGCCCGCGCGGAGCGCCTGGCTGCGCAGCTCAGCTACTACCGCGTCGTCGGCCGTGAGTACTCCGTCACCGGCTGCAAGCAGGTGGTGGCCAAGGTGAACCTCTTGTAGCGTTGGTGCAGCTGGACACGGGGACCCTAGTGGGCACTGCAGGACATTTGGCATGGTGGTGGCAGCAGGAGAGACTCACCCCAGGCCACTGAGGCCTCTAATAAACCTGTTTGTGGATGCACCCCTGGAATATCATTGGAGCTAGGGTGATTGGTGGGGTGGTGGGACAACGGGCCCTAGTCTGATCTCCCCACTTCCAGTTGGGGAATGGCCCTCCATCCGGTCCTTAACTTGGTCACCATCCCTTAGTGACAACTGTGTGAGGGCGTGTTCCAGGAGGATATGGTGAGTTCTTACACCACCCCAGGAAGTGGGCAGTTGGCCTGTGTTGAAGAGGATGATCTCAGAGAGGGTGAGTGGCTCCAGGTCACTCAGCTCATCCCCTGCAGAGCTGGAATTTGAACCCACCTCTGTGGGGTACTTGTGGCCACCAACACCGCACACTACACACACACACACTACAGACACACACACACACACACACACACACACAAGCCCCCACACACCTGCTGGGAGGTAGGGGCAAAGACGCAGCAGCTCAGGGATGGTCTAGATTTCATGAAGACAGTCCTCAGAGGCAACTGGAGTGCTCCGGTGGAGCCTCTGACATCAGGAAGGAGGGACCGATCAGGTTGAGCATGGTCACAGGCGGGCCCAAGTGGGACTCTCCATCCCCCTGCCCTGGCCACCATCCCAGCCTGGCCCTGATCAAGGAAAGCTGCCCCTGCAGGGAGGCCCCTGGACGGGAGCTGCAGACATGCAGAGCCCTGGCCAGGGTTCCTCCTGGTGCTGGGTGGGGGGAGGGCTGTGCCTCTGGAGAGGCCACCTGGTGTGGGGCGGTAGTCCACAGTGACAACAGCTCTCGGGGTCCTGCCCCACAGCGCAGGAGAGGCTGCAATGGAGCTGTTTGGACAGCCCTTCTGCCAGCCTAGCCCTCCACAGCCGCCCCCGCGCCCTGGCAGGGGGTTGCATTTCCAGGGGCAGAGGCTGGCAGTGCCCGGCTCTGTCTGGGGAGGGAGGGGCTGGCGTCCTCACGCAGCCTCTTCCCCCTACGCAGTGCCGGCCACTGATTGGACATCCAGGCCGGCCGTGTGACCATGGAGACAGGGGCAACTCTCCGGGTAGGAAGAATCCAGGCCCCTGCACACCCGGGCCCCTTGTTTGCGTGGGTGGGTGTATGTTCCTGGCAGTCTTCGCCGGTGAACGCCCTCTCGTCCCCGCAGTGGCTCCCCCACCTTGCTGCCCTTTTATCCTTTTGTGCCCCGAGTTCTGCCCTCCCCGCGCCTGTTCACGAGGAACGCAGCTCTGCAAACTTCTCAGAGGTTCAGTGCGCACTCCGCCTCTGGGAAGCCTCCCGCAGACCGCGAGGCTCCCCGCGCCCACCCAAGCTTTAGAGGGACTTGCTGGGGGTGCACTTTGTGCGGGGTTCCGGGGCGGGGGCGCCGCGTTCGAGCGGTCTCCACCTCCTCCCGCAGCGGCGCACTGAGTAGCAGAAGCCGGGTGCGCAACCGGTCCCCGCCTCTCCGAGGCCGCTCCGGCCCCAGAGGCTCCGCGGAAACGCCCTGCCCCGCCCTGTCCTTCCGAGGTGCAGGACCCGCTCCCAGGTCCAGAGGGCCAGGCCTCCCCCACCGCCCCCTCCCCGCCACCGTCCCGGCCCTAGGCGGTCCGGCGGAGCTCGCGGTCTAGCGGCGCACAGATGACAGTAATGTCAACGATAACAAACCCCAAAATGTAGGCTCGAGGGAGGGTGACATCGCATGGGAGACAGGGGAAGTCTTCGCGCGGGTGGCGGGCGGAGGGCACTAGCGGTGGAGCGGACAACCCAGGCGGAAGGCACCGTTCAGGAGCAAGTGGGGGACGCCCCTCGTGGGTGTGAGCGCGCGTGTTTACGCGGCGGGAGGCTGTGTACGCACCCATTCCCCGTGTCTGAAGACTTGGCGATCCCCGGAGCCGTGTCCCTCTGGCGGGCTCCTGCAACGTTCGCGTGGACCGCGCCCGCATTCCTGACCTCGCATTGGTCCGTGGACCTGGGCCGAGCTCTGTCTGAGTAGCAGGAGCATTCGCGGTCCCGGGAGTCTGGAGTATCTGGGCAGACGGAACCGCTCACCTGTCGAGCCCAGCGCACAGATCCTGGGCCCAGGAAGGAAAGGGGTGTGGGGGTCACGTCCTGCCCCTCTGAGGCCTGCGCTGTGGGCTCCCTCGGGCTCTGATGGGCAGAGTGAGGGTTTGTGTGGGAGGGGTAGGGGGCTGGGCCCAGGGGACATCTGGAAACCTTTGTCTCTGGGGGCTGAGGCAGGGGCAGGTCTGGGAATCGGAGGGCTGCGTTTCAGCCCCAGCTCTGAAGTGCTGGGCGAGAGAGGGGCCGAATACCTGACAAAGGACACGGCACTGATGGACTGTCCACTCTGACGTCCCTGAGGTTTGTGGTGATACTTCAAGGCTTGTGGGTGAGATCCAGAGAGAACGTTGTTGAGTGGAAGGGGTGCTTGCCAGCCCATGCATGGATGAAGCGGGGGGTCCTCACCACTCCCCAGGGAGGGTGCACCTAGGATCATTCCTCCCCCCTCGGCTGCCCACAGAGCAGCCTCTTTGGGTGTCACCTGCCCAGCCAAGCATGGCCCAATCACTCACCCACTCAGCCAACAGATGCCCACTCAAGTTCTGTTGTTGTTGTGAGCCCCTGAATCAATTTCAACTCACAATGACCCTATGTGATGGAGTAGAACTGCACCAGAGGGTTTTCTAGGCTGCAATCTTTCCGGGAGCAGATCCCCAGGTCTTTCTCCCTCGAAGCTCCTTCTCTTCTCACCAAAAGCCCAAGTCGGTGAGCTCATTCTGCTGTAAACCAGATTCCCATACGTGCATGTGGGTCTGTCTCTGGGCTCTCTACTGTGTTCCACTGGTCGGTTTGTTTTCTCTGGGCCAACACCACGATGTCTTAATTGCTACAACTTTATAAATATGAGTCATGATACCTGATGGGAGTTCCACCTTATTCTTCTTGGCTATCCTTGGGCCTTTTTTCTTAGAATCTGTTTTTGTCAAGTTCTTTGAAAAACCTTTTAGGATTTGATTGGCACTGCATTGACTCTACAGATCAGTCAGGGGAATATTGATGTCTTTACGCTGCTGTTCGTTTATTAAGGCCTTTTAAAAATGTCTTTCCATAAAGTTTTGTAATTTTCAACATGAAGGTCTTCTTCATTTTTTGTTGGATTTATTCTAGAAACCACATTATTTTTTGTTGCTATTGTGAAGGGTTACTTTGTAAAATGTAGCACACATTGAGAAAGGTGCATAATACCAAAAGACATGTTCAAATCTTTATCACAGAGCAACCACCCTGCACTCACCATCCAAGTACAAAAACAGAACACTGTCACTATTCCAGCGGCCCCCTTGTGTCACCCCCCCAGTCACAGGTTTCCCCCTCCCGGCCTCCAAGGCAATGACTGTCCTTCTGTCAAGACAGTCAGGAGCTTGTTGTCTTCATACTTCACAACTTAACTCTGCAACCCTGAACACTCCTGCTTAGTTGGTTTTGTAATTTTTTTTTAACTTTCTTATTAATTACATTATTTTTTTTTAAATCACCTTATTTATGTAATAGAGCTTTAGTTACCTAATAATTTACGTACCACAGAATTTACTGATTTTAACTGGACGATGTAGTGATTTTTAGTAAATGTACAGAGTTGGCTACAATCCAGGTTTAGAATATTTTCGTCACCCTGGAAAGACCCGACGTGCCCTGAACGTTCCCATGAATTCCTGTTTCCAGGTCTGCTCAGACAACCAGTTAGCTGCTTTCTGTCTCTAGATTTTCCTTTAAAAACTTTTTTTATATAAATGGAGTATTTTGCAGTTTTTGTGTTCTGCTTTTTCCCCTTAGCGTCATGGGCCTGAGGCCCCTGGTGCTGTGGGGTGTGTCAGTGCTTCATGCCGTCCTATTGCTGAGCGGTTCTCCACTGAGGGGATACAAGACCTTTTGTTTTTCATTCACCAGTTAATGAACATTTGGATTGTTTCCACTTCTTGGCTGTTACGAATAATGGTGCTAGGAACATGTGCCCAAAAATTAATTGTGTGGACATACGTTTTTCATTTTTCTTGAATAAATACCAAGGAGCGGAATTGCTGGGTTATATGAAAAAGTTCTGTTTAAGTTTTTAGAAACTGCCAAACTGCTTTCCAAAGTGGCTGCACCATTTTACATTCCCACCAGCAATGTACAACGGTTCTAGTTTCTCCACAACCTTACCAACACCTGTTACCGGCAGTCTTTTTGATTATGGCCGTCCTAGTGTGTGGTTTTAATTGTGTTTTGGATTTGCATTTCCCTGATGGCTAATGACCTTCAGCATTTTTGTCGGGTGCTTATTAGTCATTTGTATGTCTTCTTTGGTGAATGTCTATTCAAATCTTTTACTAATTTTCTTAATTGGGTTGTTTGTTTTCTTATTATTGAGCTGTAAGAGTTCTCTATATATTCTGGAGACAAGTCTTTTATCGATATATGATTTGAAAATATTTTCTCCCAGTCTTCAGCTTGTCTGTCCATTTTCTTAAAGGTGTCATTCAAAGTGCAAAAGTTTTTCATTTTTATGAAGTCAAATTTATCAATTTTTTCTTTCATGGATCACGCCTTTGATATCGTATCTAGGACCTGTTTGCCTAATCCAAGGTCATAAAGATTATCTCCTCTGTTTTAAAAGATTTCATAGCTTTGGCTCTGAAATTAACTAGTTAACCATTTGAGTTAATTTTCGTGTATAAGGTGAGGTAAGAGTCTACATCAATCTTTTTCCATGTGGAAATCTTTTCCATCATATACTGAAAAGACTGCCCCGCCCCCCCCCCCGCATCCAAGCCTGTACTTGTATTAGCTAGGGTCCAACTGGAGAAATAGAAGCAATAATAAATATATATTAAGAGATTTATTGCAAGGAATTGACTGATGAGATTGTAGGGGATGGCTAGCTAAGTCCAAAAGCCATAGGGCAAGATGTCAGGGCAGGTTGGAATTCCTGAGCAGGAGCTGAAACTGCAACCCATAGGTGGGATTTCTTCTTCTTTAGGGAAGCTCAGTTCTGCTCTTGAGGCCTCAGCTGATTGAATC